TTCTCTGTTAAATCCAATGAACGGCAGTTGAAAATAACAACGTGAATCTGGAAAATTGAAGAACGCGAAAACTACGAGACATTCGTCGACCATGGCGAACTGGTCACTCGCGTACACGTCGAATGCTCCGCGCTGTTCGTAGAAATAGTGTGAATGCGACGAGTTTTTTCACCGAGACTCAATCATGAACGTTGCGTCGAAACAGGACGAGCGTAAAGCCCTGCTATTAGAAACGCAGTGCTCGCAACACGACAAATTGCCGCGGAACAAACGTCTCGTCCTACATTTCGCGGCTTACAGCCGACAGATGCGCTGACAAGCAAGAATCACCTTAAAGGTTCGCGCTCGACAGATTGCACTGAGGACTGATTGATGCGCCCCGAACAACAATCGCGGCGGATCCGCGCTACCGCCACCTTCCCTATTCATCTTCTTCTTGCGACCAACGCATTAGCGACAATACCAGCATGCATTAAGCGCCACCGGCTACTACCACATTTACGCGCTGCCCGCTCGCTCGACCTCTCCTTCCGATAAACCTCCCGTATTTTACTGCACATGCCTTATTATTTCATGACCCGAACTTAATTCACATGACCAACTATGATACGGCAAGTTTTCCAGTTGATACATTTCTTCGACGGTGTTATATAAGTTTAAATTGCACGACTAAGAACGGTACGTAGACTGTTGTACAATATGCGTAATACGTATATCTAAATGCGGGACTAGTGATTTGTAATTGCTGCTTCAGTTAATTAAATGTGGTATAATGTGTCGATTGTAATGTTCTTAAGATTTGTTTTAGAACGAATAGAATAAAATGCATTTCATCGATATGATATAGGAGAAAAATTTGGTTAGATAAAGGTCATTTAATTGTTGAAGCATTTAGCGCATATGTATTTTCTAGTATAACACCTGATGTACGCGAAGTTTCGATGATATATGCAAGTAAATGTAAGCTTTTTCGTTACAATAGATATATTTTTATTATTTTTCTCTGTACTCAATATTTTTGCTTTACCTAATATGCAATACCAATGTGAAGCCACCGGATGGCACGGTATTAAGATTTACAGAACGAATTATCAGGACGACTGAATCCTAAAATATCTCAATTATCTTTAATGATAATAGAAAATATTCTAAGTAAAAAATGTTCGATTTAGTGAAGCTTGACAAATTTAATCGTGCATATTAGTTTACTAGGAAACACCTTACCACCATAACTAAAGTATTTACAGCCAACAGCTCTATAGATCTACCATACAATTGTTTTATTCAATTATTTTATTATGTATAATTACTAGGCGGTTAAAGATTACCATGTCTTGACAATATTCCAACATTTTACATTATTACATTAGAAATATATTGCAGAACTATTAAACGGGTAGTTTATGGACTCATTTATTATCATTTAAATTCATATAGACTTATTTTGGAAAAATATAGATACTTCACTGAGAAATTCTTAAATAAATTGATTTACTAATACGCATTCTAAACTATAAATCAATTTATGAACTGAATAAACGCACTCATATTTTTTGTAAGAAAATACATAGGTATTGGACAATTTAACTGCTCGGTAATTCTAGTGTGAAGCTATGATTTTGTAAGAATAATTATTTTTTTCTTGAATAGTTTTCTCGTGTCTTTACAAAAATATGTCAGATTCTAATTTCAAATGTTTTATTGTGTATTATTTTGTCTTAACACTTATGCTTACTCTTATAGAAATACAGTTCAGTATTAACTAATTATCCAAACACATACTTACATCCCAAGAACAAATGAGAAAATCTTAATCTCTCTATTTCTTTTTAATTATTTCTTACCTCCATGGCACGCATTCTTAAAACCATGAAATATTGAAATTTTTATAAATTCAACTCTACATTATTATTGTATTATTGTACCAAATCAATGTCATCTTATTTGAATTACACATTTTTTTATCGTAATTTCCATAATTTGATTCAAAACTTGACATTTGATTGTAATCAGCGCGCATCCTCGTTCGTGCCAAGAGGTAGTTTTGACACGCGATACGAAAGTCATTAATATCGAGACGGCCTTTACATATGGACAACGCCTATGCAACCAGCAGGGTTTCTACCTCCTTGGAATCTGAACATCCACCAGTTGACATTTGACAGGTTTGATAGTTGCAGGATTTCTTAGACGTGTCGCTCCGTAGATAGATGTATGGTCCCACAATAATACAGTGAAGCTTTCTTGCTTCCTTCAGGTTTTAAACCGCCTTGTTTCTAACTTGATATCTTCACGAACTTCGCGAAACAAAAGGCCCATTAGCCACACTCTAATGTAATCACAGAATTATTATTGTATTCTCATGGGATTCCTTACAATTTATAATTAGAATTAGTATCATTTCTTCTGGTGATAATAAAACTAAATGCGACTTTCTCTGATAATTTTTCATTCTTTTCATCGTGTATATTATCATAAATTACATTTTGTATATTTGAAAATTTTAAAAATAAAATTGTGTTTGTACTAACTTTTCTTGAAAATATATTATGATCTAAAAAAGACGCACTTAAAAATGGAAAAAAATGTATTTGCTATTTACTTTAAGTAATTCCATTTATTTCCGTCAATAAATTTAACAAAACAATTTACGTCGAAAAAAGCATCACTATATTTTGACTCATTCCTTCTAATTAAATTGTACTTATCATTTATTTGGGATGTAAATTTACATTGACTTTAATATTTTAAAAAAATTTTATGCAATAAATACATATAATTACAAATAGGCATATATATATATATATATATTCATTAGAAGATATAGTAATGAATTATTATACAGGATGTCTGTTTTATTTAAATACAGTGAAATATTTTCTAAGGAAATGGAGTTATGAAAGAATATTCCAACAAAATTTGTTTGGTATAGAGAGCAATGTTACATGCTCTAAATATTTCTAGTGTAAATGGTTTGGTGAGGAAGATTTTAAAGTTAATTTCACATTTTTAAATAAAATCCTATATATTTTTATAGATATTACGATAATGTATATTAAGACGATTTTATCGAGTCATTTCTATCAGTCATTTTTTATTAAAGGAAATTGTACAATTATGAAAAAGCAGAACTCGCTGTACTAATTTGATCTTGTATACAAACACAAACTCGAACGAAACAAACTCCATATCTCCACAGTTTTTGATGAAAACAAGTTTACGTACTTATATTTCAGAGTCGGTTCAGTACACGTTCTTAATCAGTTGACAATACATTTTGTGATTTCTACAATGACAAAATGTTTTTCACAACTGAAGAAAAAGTAGAATTAATACTATTACAAGAAGATACACACTTATTTCATCGTAAAGTTAATTCAGCATTTCATACGTGACATTCAATGAGACCAAAACCAACAATATTAACGATAAACAATATTGTTGCAATATTTAAACGTATTAGAAATGTTGTTACAATACTTAAACGTGCAAGAAATATTGTAAAATATATAGTCAAGTAGACTTAGCAGCTAACGCAGTAGTAAGGAATGTTTGATGGTCTGTCTCTCGGTTTTTTGTTACTGTACAATTATCTATGAAAGAAAATGACCTTGACAGCAACTCGATGAATTCGTCTTAATGTCTGTTAAATATCATAATACAGTGAGACTCGTCTAAACTCCACAGAAATCTGCTCGACTAAATTCCACAACACCAGTCCTACTCTTCCCGCAATACTCATTGTTTTGAGCTCAGTGTAACGTATTCCCAGTAGACACGGACAGAAAATGAATACAATGTACAAAAACGGGATCGACGTAAGTCCGTCGAATATCGAGGATCGAGGCCCGGGACTTCAAATCGACGCCGCACGTGACAATGTAATACACATACAATGGAGAAAATTTGAATTACAGTAATTTTAACTTTACCTTCTCAAATATAGTAATGATAGATTGCTGAAAATTTTCTGATTAAAGTGAGTCCAAACACGACGTAAATTGGTTTAGTTTTATCGATTTGGGGGAAAAGAACCTTTAATTTCATTCATTACATTAAATCGGTAAAACTAGTCTAATTTCCGTCGTGTTTGGACTCATTTTAATTAGAACAATCTCAGAAATTCACTGGCACTACATTTGAAAAAGTAAAGTCAAAATGATTGAAATTGAAATTTTCTTAATTGCGTATTTGTATCTGACGCGTTCGACCCTCGATTTTTCCTCGAATGTCTAACCCGTTTCTGCCCATCGTAACGATTCTCTGCCTTTGTCAAGTTGTGCTCGAGTCAATTCCTGCAAGGAAATAGCTTCCTCTGCTTGCGTAAATTACACCGCAGGGTCCCGAAATTGTGGAACTCAAGCAAGTCTCACTGTAAGTGTAATATAATATAACATTTTATTTAAAAAAAATTAAATTCACTTTGAAATCACTTATCGTATCAACTACAAAAATATATTTACAACGCGTAATGACCTCACTATATTTGTACTAAACATTTAGTAAAACATTTTTTTCGTGACATCGTTTCCTTAGAAGATATATTACTGCATTCAGATAAAACAATCACCGAATATATTATTAACATTTACTGCTAAATTCATCCCTAGATAAAAATAAGAAGGGATTAATATGGCAGGGTATCGGATTAGTTTTTTACACTACATCTCCTTCACATCAACTTTGCAAGTTTTTATCGCCTACAAATCACACAAGGGTGAACTTTACTTTTATTTGAGACAATGTCTAATTATTTTTCCTTATCATTTCCTTGTATCGAAATCTTATGTACTTACAAGTACTGAAAATACATGTTTATGATACAAACATAAACAAACAATTCACATATCCCTACAAAAAGGTGATTATATTAGAAAGTTTAATTATAAGGAAATATTTATAATTGAAAAAAATGACGACCGATAAACTTAAAATAATGTTTTATATATTTTAGGGTCGCATGCCATTCGTGCGTGCAATGAGCATGGAACAACGGTGGCAAGATTTGGCATCCCTTTTGTCGCTACCTGGTGCACCAGACCATTTTGCGCATCCTGCACATCCTGGATACCCAGGGCACGGTATAAGCCATAGTCATTATGAAGCGCAACGTAACGTACTGCTTCATAATGCTACTCTGGCTCCACCCGTCGGTGATCTTAATTCCACGAGTCCCTACCATAATGTGGGTGAGTATATTAGTAAAATGATATTAACATTTTATAATTTCAATAAGTAAGAATGATCTAAGTCGTAGTCATAAACACAATATCATTTTCCTTGGAAAATTTATCCAAAATAGTTTCAAATAGGATTCGTTAATATTAAATAATTAAAAAAACGAGTTAAAATTTTATATATATATATTTTAACTCGTTATTTATATATATATATTTAGACAATTATGTATGCTCTTGAAATCAAACAACTCCTAGTTATAATTTGATATTTCCAAAATAAATTAAAATAAGGTATCTTAACACCTTAAGGACAGAACTTTCATGTTTAAAACTTACATCTATGTAGAATTGAATATATCAGTCACTAGATTCTTCTTCATCAAAATTGCCCAAAATGGTTTATTCGTTATTAACGTGTCAAAGTACAGTGTATTATGTTCTGGTTGTTTAAAAGGACACACTACTCACAATTTTCCTTACACACGTCGCACTTATGTTTAACAGAATTATTGATAGATCCCATAGGTGCCTGTTGTAGTTACATGTAACAAACAAAAAGATATTTTATTTGGTAATATCTTTAAAAATATGAATGCAAAATTTGCATCTACACAAATTTTATTTATCATCTAATTTGTTAGAACTAAAATACTCACTGCCACAGGTGGATCGTCGAATCTGGGTTCAGCCGTGGCAACATCAATGAATTTGACAAATAGTAGTGAACCAATGGGTGCAGAAAGTGGTGCTGCTTATAAATCCGAACCCGGAGACATGATGTACTATCATACACCAACTTCAGATTCAATTAATCAAACCACTGACGGTTTTCTTTCATCCCTTCTTAATGACGAGGATTTGCATCTGATGGACATGGCCATGAATGACGGTATGTTGACATTTTTTAATTTCTTAACCACTACTTATAATGATAACGTAAAGTTGACTAAATCCAATAAACATAGGCTTGCAAATTAAAAAAATTAAACGCTTTTTTTTAAATATTTTATTACAAAAAGAACGTATAAAACACTTAACATAATATTAGAGAGTATCATTTTATAAAATAAAATATACTTTTTATGATATCTTCTTATAATTTGTTCTTAAAAACTAACATTTGTACGATCGACGGAGAAGTACTATAACGAACTACATCGACAGATGTAGATAAATGAGTTTTCGTAAATTATATAATATTTCTTAAAATTAAACCCGCCGTATCAACAAAGGTAACATTATCCCGTTATTTTGTACTTAACCTACTTCTAAGGAGGTACAAGGTACAGTTTATGTTTCACTTTAAATACATCACTCATTGGTGAAACAAATAAGAATGGAAACGAAAATTAACTGAAACATATTACTATAATACATAAATATCCATTTCTGTAGATGTGAGCATAAGAGTAATATAGTAATTTTGTACCTCTGATGTCGAAAATGAATGAAAAAACATGTAGTACCTTTTTTATGCAAGTACAACAGAAATACTCAGGTAAAAGAACAGCTTTTCTACCACGCTTCTTCTACTTCGCTCATTGCAGAATTTGTATATGCTTCTTCTCCATATTGTTCACCTTCTGGTTCAAACTACACACAAAAAACAGGATACATGTATTAGTTATTTATTACAATTTCAATTAGAAAATTATTATTGTTAGAATTTATTTACCCCTCTGATATCTTCTCCTCCAAATTGGTTTCCTTTCCCAGGCATAAAGTTTCGTCTTGAGTTTCCGGATATTAACCAATCTGGAATAGATTGACTTGCCTGTTTCAATATTCTTACAAGATCACCTCTCAAAGGCTCGTCATCTTCAGGGTCGAAGAATGAAGTCGCTCTTCCACGATTCCCTACACGACCAGTTCTACCGATTCGATGAACGTATTCATCAATACTTTTTGGTAAATCGTAATTAATGACATGAGACACGTTTTTAATGTCTAAACCCCTAGCAGCGACTGCTGTAGCTACTAAAATAGACATCCTTCCACTTTTGAAATCAGCCAATGCCTCTTCCCTTTGTCTTTGTAATCTGTCGCCGTGAATACTGGTAGTCGGGTAATTATTTTCAGATAAAAACACTGCTATAAAATCAGCTCTCTTTTTCATCTCCACAAATATTAAGGTACCTTTTAATGTACCTGCATCATTTTCTCTTTGTAAAACTTCTCCTAACATATCTTTCTTTTTCCTTTTTTCAACTTCATAGAAGTTTTGTTCAACATCTGAACATGCTCCACCTACAATACCAACTGCAAGGAATAAATAATTGTTTAAAAATCTCTTTGCCAGATGTTGAACTTCATCTGGGAAAGTAGCAGAAAACATTAATGTTTGTCTCTCTTGTAGAGGAACCATTGTTTCATGGTCTACAATTCTTTCGATGTTCGGTAAAAATCCCATGTCCAGCATACGATCAGCTTCATCCAATACAAGGAACCTGACAGAAGAAAATTTAATTCTTCCTCTGTCTAAAAAGTCTAATAATCTCCCAGGGGTCGCCACAAGTATGTGACAACCTGCAGAAAGTTTTCCTCCTTGATGGTGTACAGATGTTCCACCATATGCAACAACAGTTTTCAAGATTGAATTTAGTGCAAACTTAACAATTTGTTGCCCAATTTGTATAGTAAGCTCACGAGTAGGTGATACGACAACGACTTGGGGTTCACAATGAAACGAAGATACAATTAGGTCTGTTGGTTTCTCCAATAAAGTATGGATAATAGGAATTGCAAATGCAGCGGTCTTTCCTGAACCTGTTTGTGCACAAGCCATCAAATCACGACCTTCCATTATGATCGGTAAAGCATGTTTTTGTACTGGAGTTGGTCTTGTATATCCTGATTTTCTGATATTGTCTATTATTATGTTTCTAAGGCCAACTGTTTCGAAATTGTCTATCGGAGCAGGTGGATTTTCTCCACTTACTTTAACTTCAATGTGGTCATATTTGTCGAAGTTAATTCCCATTGCAACTCCATTTCCAAACAAAGATTTTTCATCGGAAGACAATTCTGGTGGAATGTATAATTCTCGAGGTTTCCGTGATTCTTCACTATCATTGTTATCATCTCCATTAAACTTTCCCCTAGATCTATAATCATCATTCCCATAGTTGTCACTGTTTTCACCTCTAAATCCTCCTCCTCCTCCTCCTCCTCCTCCTCCTCTGCCACCTCTTCCTCTAAAACCTCCTCCTCTGCCACCATCACTGGAATCACCTCTTCCTCCTCTTCTGCCTCCTCGACTTCCTCTACCTCCTCTACCTCCACCTCTACCACCACCTCTGCCTCCTCCTCCAAAATTGTCACTATCATCATTAGATGGCCAATTATTATCATTATTATAGCCATCATTGTTGGTATATCCATCATTGTAATGTTTGTTTCCTGGCCCCCATTCGTCATTATTGTTATTTCGACCTATAAATCCACGACCTTTTCCAAAGCTGCGTCCATCATCGTCAAACTGATTTAAAAAAGATAAAAAGTTGAGAAATTATTTGCAGTTTCAGATGCATTAAATTAAAAGGAATGTAAGTATACTTACATTCTGTGTATCTGCAGAGGAATACTGAACGTTATCTTGACCCCACTCGTCAGCCATTATAATCTGCAGAGATATTGTAATATTATGAAAAAATTTTTGAGGAATAATATGGTGAAGTTAAAAATTTATATTCTGAATTACAAAATTTGCCAATATTTACAGAAACAGTTAGTGTTACAGATTGAATACTAAATAAAAAATTTATCAATATACATATTACGATCATACAGTAACTTGATAGTACAGTCAAACCTAGACTTATATCCTTCCAATTTATGTATTTTTCAGCTTACATAGCCATTTAGATCCAATTAGTAAAAGTAGAGTTTCATTGTACTTTAAATGGTTTTTATATTGTTTTTAAAAATTTTAATTAAACTTAAATATAAATTTTACTTTAAACATAAACTTTAATAAATTTTGAAAAAACAATGTTTAGCTTCACAAAATTATGATCCTGAAGAATAAGGAAAATGGTCAATTCCTTTCTCGCCATAGATATTAAATAAGAATCAACATTTAAAAACTGCACTCGGTAAAAAATTGATATTTCTTATTTAGATAAGGTTTAATCCATTTTATCATTAACATTAAACATACCAGCATATTCCCATACTATAAATAATGAAAAAATCA